AGAGATGTGTATAAGAGACAGCGCTAGATAGCGCAAATAGCGTGCTCCCCGAACGCACTTTCAGACCAAAATATTTTGGTAGGATGAAACAAATTTTGCGTTTTTCAACAAATTTTTTTTCTCCGTGTATCATTATTTATTGTATTACAATAACGAACGGGTTATAATTTATTCTATACCATAAATATATGCCCCGAACGAGGCAGATAAAATCAGCGAGCTTTATTATCGGGTATATTCTTTATGCAGGATGTATCTGCCAAACGCATGCGTCCTTTTATGCATTTTACATGGTGTGTAAGTGAATATAGATGTTGCACGTAACGCGGCAACATATTTTCAGTATTAATATTGAGCCGGAGAACTCTATTACCTTTCAAAGACTTAGTGATAATGCGTTAATAATTAAGCAATTTAATTACTATTCGAGCTGCGTGTACGCACTGCACGCAGCTCCATCGGGACTGTTATTTCCTATATACGTATCATGCTAAACTAGATTAACATAATACATGCTGTACGCGCGTTATGTGGATTTGGTGCACGCGTGAAATATTAATATCGCCCTTCTGGCGTCCCGTGAATTAATTTCGTATAATACGCACCTCGCGCCACGCGGAACGTGCGACGTTGAATATCTAATCTGAATATTAAACCGATTATCCCACCGGTTTATTAATACCCTTACTTTTGTTGACGTGTCATCTCTGTGTCGTTTCCAATTAATTCAACGCCGTGCCGCATTTATCCCGCGTAATTCTATTCAGTGTTAAATGTTGATGTCACGTAAAAAAAAAGACAGTGATAATGACATTAACAGTTTAGTTACGCTGTTGGAAAATTTGTGTTATATTTAACACATTTCACATGTTCCAAACGGTCCACTTAAATTTTTGTGTTAATTTAACATAAGATGAATAGAAAGTAACACAAATATTACGTTAAATTAATATTAAAATAATATTATGTTAATATAATACTAAAAAATTAACACCAAAAAATGTAACGCTGACACAATTTGCAAGCAAACTGTGGAAGTATATTTTTTCAATAAAATTAACATTACGTTAAATTAACGCTCGTATTTTATTCATTTATGTTATAATTTACATTTCAAAACGCATTATTTTTATGTTATTTATTCACTTACTCAAATTGTTATTTTGACACTAAGAACTATTGAATATCAATTTAACACAAAATATTTAAATAACATAATCACATTATGTTAAATTAACACTCGACTATGTAAAAAATGTAAACACAAAATTTTAAGAAATAAGTGTGTGAATCGTTTCTAACATAAATACAAAATGTTTTGTTACTGTGTATTAAAGATTGAATTTAATGAAAAATTTGGCAAAAAAGAGTCAACAGTAAAACAGCAAAATAGTAAAATAGTAAAAGTTATGTTAAAAATGAAAAAGTTGCATAGCGCGCCTAAGTAATGTTATTACAGAAGTTGCACCAAGAGCTATAACGTAAAGGAAAATGTAGCGGTTATATTTCCATACACATTGTTACGAATATATAACTGTACTGATTCCGCGGAAGTCGGTTTGACTGCAAGAGCCAAAGATCTGCGTAATATTTCCGCGAGAAAGCGTTCCTTTCCAGTTTTCTCCGAGATATATAAACTCCGCGCTCAACAGTTAGGTCGCTCCCCGATCTCCTGTCGTAAATCGTTACGTTTGACTTTGCATAAATATCCCGCAGGTTTGACAGGCTAGCCGCTGAGCACCACTGCCTCAGGATAAAGCTCCTTGGAGACTGTTATTATTGCGTTTCCGGACTTCCGGAGCCGCGGCCCGACCACGCTCACTGTTGCGTAGAAATGGGATTGGACATGATCGATGCAATAACGTAAGTCCGCGCATATATATCTTCATCTCTCTCTCTCTCTCTCTCTCTC